CGCGACTATCCCGGAACCGGACACGGTGACGCGGACTGTCGCATCGCAGGAACAGGCACCGGGAGTGATGCTGGGGGGAACCCTAGCCGGGAGCAACTCAGAAATGGCTTATTGGGACTTGATTCAAGTCCTAGGGCGCAACGCCCCAGCGGAATTTCGCGCTGTGCCATGCCCCTCGGAAGAGGTGGTCGACATTTTGGTCATTGGAGATTCTTCCTGCGCCATGGTCGAAGAGCCGAACAACCAATACCCGACCAAGCACCATGTGGCGGAGCTGCTTCAGGCCGAACAGCTGAAGGGGGTCCGCAACATTTACCACGGCATGGACTGGGGAAAGGGGCTTGACGCTATTTATAGCACCATGGAGGCCAAAGTGCGATTCATCGCCGAGGACAACTCTCAGAAGGGCATCAAACAGCTTCCCATTTCGGTTTACGTATTGTGGGGAGGAAACGATGTCTTCGGCAACTATGGGTACGTGGGGTGCAGATGGATCCATGAGAAAAGGTTCAACCGTACGGAGGCGGGCCGGAAGGCCGCGTCGGAGTGGCCAAAGGTTCAGAAGACTCGCGTGTTCGAGCAGCTCGACTTCTTCAAGGAGGCGGTTGGGCTCGGACGCATTCGAGACATTACCTTCATCAGCAACCCGGACGCCGAGGACTATGCCCTCACGTCCGACTACAATGAGGCTATGAACGGTTGCCTTCGACACCTTGCAAATGGGGACATCGACGATGGGACCCGCATCAAGGCGATCGACTCGATCGACCCGTCGGTCATGACATTGCTGGCTCACAGGTACGATGACGTGCACATGACATACAGCAATGCCAACCGGAAGGTTGTGTCGAAATTCCTTCATGCGGCAATCAACACGCAGCTGTTGGCCCAACGGATCAGGTACGCTCTCCCAGCTATCGGGAGAGTTGAGCCCTATGTGAAAGGTGAACCGGTGGATCCTGTGCTGTTTGGCTGGCCCACGTGTTTGAAGCTAGCCAAAGCACTCCACGAGTATGCTGCGATGGAGGAGAGGCCCGACTGGTCCCACGACCAGGAGGGCGAGGAGATCGACGTCGACGTGGCCGCCTGGATGAAAGTGGCTGAGGACGAGTCCTACAACGCCATGACCATCGAGATGCGGGGGGCCAAGGTCGACGAATCCGAGATCGTTCTCGAGGCCGTCGACAAGGGAGAAGAGAACTCCGACGACGAGCTAGACCGCGTCGAGATCGCCATGTCACAGTACATTGGCAACACGGCGGAACAGCACGGTTTGTCCATTGTGCCTGACGATGAGGACAAGGACAAGTGGCTCCTGCTGGGCGATGACACCCATGACTTTGGATGGGATGCAACGAACCTGGATTCAGGAGTGCACCGCGCTGCGCCGGAAGGCCAGTCGATCATCATCGCGGAAGGAGATTTGTTCGATCAGGAAACGGTGGTGTCGTTGGAGCTGGTGTCAGAAGCTGATGATTCCGAGGCGGCAGGGATGAGTTCCATGATCACCGCGGAGTCGGTCGCTTTTGAGTCCGTGACGGAGGGCACCAGCACATCCAAGCAACCGCCAACCCCGCCGCCACCAAGGCGCGGAGCTGCTGCCAAGAGCGCTGTGGGGGAACCCAGTCGACTGGTTTCATTGAGATTGGAGACGAGTCGGACCCCACGGCTGCCGGTTCGGCCGACAAGCCCCAGGTGAAGGCGATGCCGAGGATAGCAAAGGCCAAAGCGCCGCCTGGCAACGCCGAGGGGGAACCCCGGTCGAAGAAGCAGAAGGACCCGAAGCAGGAAAAGATCTTCTGGGAGGACTGGGCCAAAACCCGGAAGATCAACACGAAGATCCCGGCCGAGGAGCAGTGCGAGTGGCTCGAGGTCGAGGATATGGGGCATGTCCCCAAGGTCAATATGGACCGCGATTACAGGCTTGTGGCTATCTCGAAAAAGATGTCATACTTCCTCCGGGGAGGGGCATTGAAAGACGGGAAGCCACACCCACCATTCCGTGGAATCGATTTGTCGGTGGAGTTCGATGCACTGGTCAGGCATTTGAACGACCGGATTGCCAATGTCATGCCTTGGGAGGTGATGATCTGCATCCGGAATAACAACACCCGGAGATTCCGCGTGATGGTTGGGCCCCCTCCATTGGGGGAAGCATCCTGGAAAGGATTGCCGTATCAGGCGTTGCGGGTGAGGGCCGTGCAAGGACACCACAACGAGCTCACCAGGAAATACACTGAGCAGGCGATCCTGACGAATTTGTATTTCTTTGACGAAGAGTTCACTGCGGCAAAGTACTTGTGCGGGCAATACCCGAGAGCGGTACGGCATCCCGAGCAGACGGATCTCTGGCGCAGGGGCTTCCCGGCTGTCCTCTACCACACCTGTGACCTCAGGTCGGCCGAGAGCATCCTCAAGTTCGGCCTGGTCCCGGGGGGCTATCCGAAGTCGACAGGCAGAGCCCACGTCTACTTCAACCCCACGCCACCCTGGGAGGCACAGATGAGGAAGCTGGCAGGAACGCGAGCCGGAAGGCCCGTCACGATTGCTTTTGATACGGAGCTTATGATGCAAGACGGCATTCGACTCTTCACGAGCGATGAGGCGTTTATGTCTGCCGATTGGGTTGGAAATGCCTATATCATTTACGCTTTCCATACCCGCAAGAATGAGTTCCTCTATTTCAATCGTGCGTACCCTGAGCTTCGCAAAAGGTATCGCGAGGCGCTGACAACCGAGCTTGCGCCTGGCCCCCAGGACGTCAATCCGAACTTCTTCAGAAGTGAAAACACCCTGACTGCAGAAAAGGCATGGAGGCATTGGCGGACCATCGTTGAGGGGACGAAGAACGGCAAATTGCTTCCTGGTCCCGTGACTGAGATTGCCACGATCGATGAGCTCGCTCCCCGGAAGGGGAAGTCGAATGAGAGACCTGCAGGGCCGACATATCAGGTTGCCCCTGCAACCCTTCGACGGGTGCCCGAGCTCTCCAGGGGAGAGAAAGGGTATGGTCGCGGCTGGAACAACCTCCGGAACCGCTACCAGAACGAGCCAGATTGGGAAGACCTCTTCTTCACGACCATGATGAAGATCCCGGTTGTGAAGTGCTGGAACAAGAGGTGTGGCAACCAGCAGATCGACGGCTACCTGTTGTGTCAGGAGTGCCGGTCAGACATGGTCGAGTGGACGGATGCCCGCATCGCCACCGAGGTTGTGCGCCTTGAGCACACCGCATCCCTCCAAAACATGGTCTTCTACTTGGAGGACCTCCAGGGGGGCGGTGGGAAGTGGATCCGCTCCAAGCATCACTTCAAGGAAGGCGAAAAGCGGGGAGGAATCTCCGTCGAGGCGTCACTCAGAAAGACGGCAAAGACGCATCTGACCAAAGCGCTGGCAATGGGCTGCGAGAAGGTGTCCGACCGGCTCTCGGTCGACCCGTTCTATGCCTATAATTGCGCTACGCAAGGGCTGACTCCTGAGAGCCTTGACTTCCTAGGCAGGATCGCCCGAGCGGTCGTTGCAGACCCTGGCCGCACACGGGAGGAATCAGAACACTGGCACGAAGTTGGTGTTCATTCCCAGCCTCAATAAGCGCGATCCCCACGAGTTGAACGTTTCCACGGAGGCTTTCATTGCGCACCGTGCGAGATTCTACAGCATCATGCAGTTTGCGGTTATGTGTGCCTATCGTTTCATTCCGGGCAAGCAGGTGCCAATTATCGTTGGGCACAGCGGATCATACGTCCCGGAAGGGAGCGTCGAGAATATCTTGGAGGTCATGATCAGTTTCATTCGTGCCTCCTGGATCAAGTACGACTCCCAGGGCACGATCAGCACCGGTGAACTCGAGATCCCGCAGTTTTCCTCCGGCCGGACGCAGACCTATCCTGTCGAGGCGAGAAACACCCAGTGGAGGGCAATCACCCGGTCCATCCGCCCCGAGCCCTATGCCAAGGGAAAGGGCAAGGGCAAAGGAAAGAACAAGGGGCGCCAGGACTGGAGCTCTTGGAATTACGGGTGGTCCTATGGATGGGATCAATGGCGTCAGGGCCCGTGGGGATGGTGAGCACCCGCGCCAATCGCAAAAGTTTAGCTTTTGTTGCGGTAACCTTTTCAAATTTCATTGGTGATGTCATGTTCGAAAACTATTATCTTTCATCCATTGATGCCGCAACATTAGCTGTGCCAAGTTTGCACGCCCGGCGGAAGCTGCGGCCGTAGGTCAATCCACAGCCGCCACCACCGGCTGTCATATCAGTTTTGCCCAGCGGAAGCTGTGGTCGTGAGATCACCTCCGTTTGCGGCAACAGTATGAATTCAGTTTCAAGCATTCACATGAAAATCACATGTGTTTTGCCCGACGGAAGTCGTGGTCGGCCGATTCGATTGGCATGCTCCTGCAAAAGTCCAAATGCATTGCAGTTGCAGCGGCCATTGATGCAAGAGGCCTCATATCACCATGGCTTGCCACCTATCCCACTGAGGCTCTACGTCTTCATTGTCTCGACCTCAGAGGACTTTGCTTCAGGCCTGGGGGGTAACATGTACAAAGTACTGTTCTCACCAACGCACCTCTGCAAAGCGGGGGGTGTTGATAGGTAATGGCGTACCGACATGATACTGGCTCAAGTGAAAATAAGCTGCCGCCCGTGCTGACTTTTAGGTAGATCCCACCTTTCAACACAACTGAAGAACCAATGGACGGCACTAGAGCCCCTTCATGTTGACTCCATATTAATCAACCCCCGTGGGGAGTCAGACCACTTTTGGAGAGGCAGACCACTTTTGGAGAGGCCCCCAATTTCCCCCACCCCGCCATTAACACACTGGGTCCCGGTGGAGCACCAGTAAGAAAATGGACTACCACCATGAGCTGTCGGATTCTGTGTGAGGGTTTTCCCTTGGCAGGGAGCTTGTTTCAATCAGGTTGTTTTCTTGTGGTTGCAGTTCCCTGAGGGAAAGAAAACAACCCCAAAAAGGCTACCACAAGACACGCCCAGGTATTGGACCATTTTGGGCATGCAGCGGGTGCTCTATGCCATCGGAGAGGATGTGGGCCCCACCGGCTGCAAGTGGATCGAGGAGCGCCGAGGCTTCATGCGCCAGGTTTCTCAAAGTGATTGGTCCCCAAAAATCGGGGTCATTACTCTTAAGGTTAAAGTCAGAAACTGGGTTGTTGTTACCCTGCAACCTACCACGTAGGGGGTGACTTTGACAATGGTCGAATAGTGGGGTTAGTAAAGCGGTTTCCTTTTGGCTGTACTTTTTACAGAAACCGTTTCGATCTGTTTCCAAGGGATCTCGAAGGGTCGAATGGGGAGGCCGCTTGACTCAGTTCAACTACCCTCTAGCCTTTGATGCTAAAGGCTGAAAGCAAATGATTCCATCCACTACGGCGGGGAGTGGCCCCAGGATCAAACTTTGGCAGGTCTTTTGCTTCCTGCAATCACAGAATTGTTTATCACAAACATAAAGAGTGCAACTCTCCTGTGCAAACAACAACCGACAACCACCCACCCACCCACCCGCCCGCCCAGCCAGCCAGCCAGCCAGCCAGCCAGCCAGCCAGCCAGCCAGCCAGCCAGCCAGCCAACCAACCAACCAACCAACCAACCAACCAACCAACCAACAAACCAATTCAACATTGAAACCAAGAGATACAGCCTGCACCACATTCAGAAACCCTGGAATGATTCGATTCCCTGGAAATACAAGTCAAAGTTACGCTTTCCCGGTGCGAATGGATTTCGCAACCATCCACGGTATACATAAGATGCCAAAGGTAGCACCAGGAAATCCACCTAAACAATCCTTGAACTTCCCAGAATGGAATATCAACCCCATTTTATTTCTCAAGATAGACCGGGGGGGGGGGGTCCGTGTGTTTTTTCGGCTGGTGGTTTTTCACGGGAGAACTCCGCTCGCATCTGCATCCTCGCGCGTGTTGCGCCTGGCGCGCGCGTCTGCGAGGAGAAGATCGCGCTCTGGGAGGGCCAGAAGGGCCGGCGGATCAGTACCTCCGTGGCCACCGAGAAGCTGGCGGTGGCCGCCTACACGCCTCTCGGAAAACCAAAAAAAGGAGAAGCAGCGAACACTTCGAAGGAAAACGAATTAAACAAGACGAATGGACCCAAAGGCGAATCGACCTAAAGAAACCTTCCACTCGCCTGAAAAGCGAATCGACCAAAAAGCAAGCCGTTTGCTGTTTTGCTTTCCATTTTTTGGGTCCAGAGTCGAAGTCTCAGAAGGTGAACCCTTTATGTCCCGCTATTGTAAGACGCATCCAGATATCCACCTGGTTTGCTGGAAAATGGTTGCTTTCAGGTTGCACATTTCTGTGAGAGGCCAAGGGAATTCTTCTTTAAACTAAGACAGTTGTCGCAGGCATGGCTGGCTTTGGTATCGCAGAAAAGGGCTGCTTTCCCACATGATACATTCCGAGGACTGGGGTTACCTCCAATTCCGCCATTTGCTCCGGAAGCATTCATGATGTTGAACCTCATATTTTCACTGTCCTTGACAGTCATGATTGCGGAAACTTGTTGGTTGCCAATTTCTGTACCAAGGGAGCACGAAGTTTTTTTTTGTTGCTTGGAGAGTCCAGAAAGGCGAAACGAAACCCTGGCAACTTTTCGGTGATTTCGGGGTGGCCAAAAGTGAGATTCGGCCCGAGTTGGTCCAATTCCGAGCTAACTAAAGTGGTCGCCCATCCCTGGCTTGTTTTATGTTAAAAGGCTAGGCTTGGGCTATCATCAAGCTTGGCTGGGCTGTTCAAATGTAGTCCTTAATCCTTACCTTGGGTTACGCATGGATTTGGTCCCGCATGGATTTGGTCCCCTTTGTAGTGGCTTCCCTTTAGGGATTGCAGATTAGGATTGGCCAACCCTGCATTTTGAACCGCCCAGCTTGGTAGGGATTGACCATTGAAAGTAATCCCTACTTAAAGGGGCGATGGGGTATGTGGAAAGTGGGTAAGACTCATGGTTGTAACCCACTTCAGCCATGGTTATAAGCCTCCGTTCAGTGGGTTATTTCACCAGGGAATGTGGTAATGAACTCAGGGGTCCCCGTAAAGAGAACCACCAGTTGGATGGTTTATAAGAGTCATTCCAATTCTCATTCTCTGCGAACCAGCCAAGATAATCCCTGGTCCATGAATATGGCAGCCACAGATTTGGAGTTTCGCCAGTTTTTGAGGTTTGAGCTGGAGCTGCCCACCTACCTGGCCCAAGCAGGGGGCGCGGAGGTGAGCAAGCGATTCGTTCAGGGAATCCATGGGATGTTCAGATGCCTTTGGAAAAAAAAACACGAAAGCAAATGAACCAGATCCGAGCGTTTCTCTCCGAAATTCTTGGGTCAGCTTGTCCGCCCTTTTCCCCCTTTCTCAGTTTTGGCAGCTTCTGGTTATCCACTTCTGTGTTTGCTCTGTGTGTGTGTGGCGTTGTTTTAGTTCTTTGCCTCTTTGACTACGCTCATTTTGCCGGGGGCTGCACAAAACCTTCGAGCAGAGGTTTTGCTGCCACAAGGCCAGAAGGGTTCGGGAGTCTAGTAGCTTCTCCTGGGTTTGTGAATGCACGCCCGCGCCGCGACGGGAACCTGAGGGCCTGGTTGGTTTCCTACCAGAATGAGGTTTTCATAGAACAGGGCGCCCGCTTTCGGTTGGTTTAAGGGGGAAACCGAAAGCAACATCACCGGTTTAGGGTTCCTTAAGCTTAAGACAAGCCCATATATGGGATTTGGTTGGAGCAGGGACCCAAAGATTTGAATCGTCTGAGTGGTCGGGTCCGATTTTTTTGTATTTTTTTTTCCCCGGCACCTATAATCTTGTCTCTCGCCTTCAACATGGATCAAACTGGTGGGTTTCGCTCAGTTTTCCCTCTTGACTCAACCGCAACCAGGGTGCAAAGAAAAGCTGTGCGGATTGCTTGGGGCCACAAATCCGCTAGGCCTCATGGCGTTTGTATTCTTTGTTTTTGCGTGGGGGGGATAGGATTTCTTGACGCCAAAATTCTGAGGGTCCGAGCCGATCAGACACAAGTGCGGGCTTCCTTATCTCACGTCTGAAGAGATATCTGTAAATCCTCGGGGTGTTATTTTTTTCTTCTCTTTTTCTCCGGGCCCCCCGGCCGAGCGCAAGACACGAGTGAGGTTTTGCCGCTTTGATCAGAGAGGGGGCCGGGTCATCACACCACCCGGAAAGGAAGACAAGTAAACCAAAACTGGAGGTGTGTTTGGCGGGTGGTGTTTGGTGTAGAAGTGTTAAGAAGGATCGGCTTAGGCCTTATCAGCGTGAAATGCTAAATCTGGGCCAAGTAAGGCCTCGCTGCAGAGTTCTGACTGGGTTAAAATCGTGTCCGACATGTTGGAAGCGTCGTCCGAAAGTTGGCGTAACAGAGAGTCAAGTGCTCAGTCTCGCTTCAGCTTGACTTGAGCTTTGGGAAGACCATTTCAGGGGAGCTTCATTGAATCCTGAATTGGTGGCTTGGTTTGGTTTACTTACTGGTTTCTAGTGGGGAATCAGCAGGGGGTTGGGGGATTGCCTCAAAGGAAAGCCACAAGGGATGGCTGAGTTCGGGATCATTTCCTCCTTTCCCGCCTCTCGAACCAGAAGGTTTCCCACTGACTTTGTACTGTTTTAGTGGCACACGACAAGCTTTTCGACTTTTCTTGGTTAGTCTGAGGAACTTAGTTTAGGTTTAGGGTTGAGTTGGTTTAGGGTTCTTCACAAAACCAGGAACCCAAAGTTTTCTCGTTCCCTCACCGGAACCTTTGGACGCTGACTCCCTTTCGAAAGGAGTTGTCGAGTCGCCTCCCTTGAAGCCGTGGGCCAAATCGGGAAATCGAGTTCTTTACAGGGCCATAGGTCGAGTGCAGAGGGGGGAACCTTCTTTGAAGTGAAGAAGTCAGGGGCCCACTTCGTACCGCAGATGTCGGGGAACATTTCCCCGCACCTATATACCCATGCGTTTTTTTCGGCCACTTTGACGGGTGGTACCTGGTTTTATGGGTTTAAAAGTAAGGCGTACAAACATTCTCTTCTATGTTGGTACCAAAAGTCACTGGGTTTTGCTGAAGTGTGGCCTAGGTCCCCAACCAGCCTGATTGAGGAGAAACAATACCTCTAGCATTGAGCTCGTGATTGCTTGCTTGTGCTCAGCAGGGAATGAGGGAATGCCCCTCATAAACCATCCCTTGTGATTTCCTTGAAGGGCACCCCCCAGGTTCATTGCCTCATTCCCTACTGAGGGGGGTTAAAGTAAGGTGCATCAGTCAAAAGGCCCCACGAAAAACCATCGGAGGCGTGGTGTTCGGACATCCTGACCCGCGAGAAGGTGAATGTGACGGAGCACTGCGTCACGCACCTTTGCGAAGGGATAGGGGGTCATGTTTATCTTGCGATGGGTTTGATAGACAGGGAAAAAGAAAAGGAATGCCCCCAAGAAAAACTATCCCACTGGTGGTCTCCTTTGCGTCCGCAGGCGTTTCCTATTGAACTTTCTACCCCAAGCCTTGGAGTTTCCGTTTGGAGGAAAACACATATTTGAGAAGTACGGGCTTAATAGGGTTTAGGCTTTCCCAATTGAACCAGTTGAACCACCAATTATTTTGGGCACCTGCGCACGAGGAATGGACTCCACAAATCAAAGTAACCATTTGGGCGTGTCTTAGGGGCTTCAAAACCAAATTCGGATCCAGGATCATATGGGATCGGAAAAGTGTGTGCAATTATGTCCCCCTCCATACTATCCCCCCCTCCCCACCGTTTTCCCAAAATTAGACCGAAATAGACTGCCTTGAGGAAGCAGCTGTTTTGGAGTGGTTGATGAGCTGTCCTCCAGAAAGCAGATGGTTTTTCTGGAGGTCTGGGGATCGCGGCCAAGAAAAGGATCCAACTCTCCACCGACGCCTCTTTGCCTTTGTTTGCCGCAAGAGGCACAAGCAAGGGCTTCGGCTTCCGGCAGTGAGGCTTTCACCTGAGCCCTGGTGGTTCGCGATTCTCTGATTTGCTGTAATTTGCCAGAGTTTTGCGCATGGTTACTGTTGGTTTACTTGCAATACTGAGTTGTTATTCACTGTGGTGGTTGAAATCCATAGTTACTCATCCAAACTGCGGGTCATCACTGCCCACGATGAAATGCAGCATTCACTTCCTCGGTTGGACCTTTATACTGTTTGGGTTTGGACGGGTGTTGGACTGGCCACCGGTACCGGCTGAGAGGCCAAGACTATGGGAGTAAAATTCTGCGTTCGCCAAGGACTCTGCCCACCAGGTGTTTGGATCATGTTAGTGGCAAACAAAGAGTTTGGTCCCTCCTTTGGCCACTCGATCGGTGCGAGGCTCGAACAGTTTGCATCGCCCAAGACTTTTGGATCTTAGGGTCGGGCACTCCGGGCGAAGCTTCTGGAACCTTGGGACTGGGCTGTCAAAATCGAGGAGTCCCCAAAAAGAAAGAAGAGAAGAAACCACAAGAAAAAGAACAAGAAGGGACAAAGCACGGAAAAAAGGGAAAACACACACAAAAGACAAACAAACAGAAAACTAGAAGATGGGTGGCCCGAAAGCATTAGCAGCGGCGGCAAGTTCTCCTAGCAATCCTAGCATTCTTCGTGCAGTTGCGCATTTGAGCAAGTTGTCGGCGCGATTTCCTCTGAGCAAGTTCTCCAATCAAGTTCTCTCAGCAAGTTGCTCTGAACAAGTTTCCTCTATTCGCGAAACACTTTCGTACTTAAACGTTGCGATTTCCCAGCCGGAGCTGCGAACGTTTACTTCGCGTGCTACTTTGGTACTCAAAAGTTGCGATATTCCAGCCGGAGCTGCGAAAGTTTACTTTGCGTACTACTTTCGTACTTAGAAGTTGCGATTTTCCAGCTGAGCGGCGGTTTTTTAGCCGCAAGCTAATTTAGTTGGGAGAGGGACATTATAATTGAAAATGTGCGCCGCTTCACACGCGCGAAAGCATGCGGAAGGTTCGCGGAAGGGATTTGTTCGCGGAAGGTTTGCGGAAACTTTGTGGCTGATATACAACGAAATGTTTGAGTGCGTGCATGGAAAAGCTCGGAGAAACGATTCCAGTAGAAGAAAAGGTGTTGCTGCGTACAAGAAACGCAACGGTTATTCGAAGAGCAGATGCCAACAGCAAGCCAAGAAGGCCAAAACAGCCGGCGTATTTCGCGGAAGGTTTGCGGAAGGTTTGCGGAAGCTTCGCGGAAGCTCCGCGGAAGGGTGGCCCCGTGTTTGGTTGCAGGCAAGTGGCCAGGGTAGCCCAATAGAGCCCAAGCCTACACGAGGTGCGGCGGACCACTACCTCACTTAAAACGACTTTCCTTTCTGCGCCAATATGAAACACTCTTGGCTCGCGGCAAGGATGCGGAAGGGTCCGCGGAAGCTTGAATAATGTCCAAGCAAGTTTGTACGGAATAGAAACCCAGCGCGCAGCTGGAGCTGCGAAAGTTTACGTAGCGTAATGCTTTCGAAGTTACGATTTCCCAGCCGGAGCTGCGCAAGTGTACTTCGCGTACTACTTTTGTACTTAAAAGTTGCGATCTTCCAGCCGGAGCTGCGAAAGTTTACTTCGCGTGCTACTTCGGCAATGAAAAGTTGCGATATTCCAGCCGGAGCTGCGAAAGTTTGCTTCGCGTACAACTTTTGTACTTCAAAGTTGCGATTTTTCAGCCGGAGCTGCGAAAGTGTACTTCGCGCTCTAAAGTTGCGCCGGAGCTGCGGCAGTTCACTTCGCGTACTACTTTCGTACTTAAAAGTTGCGATTACTACTTTCATACTTAAAAGTTGCGTTTTTCGAGCTGCTCATGTTTTTCTGTACTGGTTCAGAGGCAGGTTCAGTATCTCGGAGCAATATGGACCCTTTCACCTTGTTGAGAAGGATCGTTATTCCTAACGCATGGGTTCTCGAAACAGGGGAACCATTTCCTAACGTGGGCGGCTTCCTTTTATTTCCCCTTTAAACCAGCTCCCAAAACGGGTAGCGGTGCCTCTGCAAAAAGATGGTTGCTTTGCTTTGTGGAGCAGTTCTTACAGTGGATGCCCTACATATGACAAAGGGAGCAAGGAAACAGATCTTCTCGAGCTTGTGGTTTTGTGGTTTTGTGTCTAGTAAGGGACCAAGGAAGCCCACCGATGGTTTTTGTGGTTGAGAATGGTTGGTATGGCATCGATTTGGCGTTGGACCCATGAACTCCGACCCGGCCCCAAGGCTGAACCTGAAGATGCAGGGCGGCCTCAACCCCCGTGCGGTTCAGCTGATTCCGCCGGCAGGGCATGCAACAAACAATTGAAACCGGGTGGGGTGGGGGAATTTCCTGGTCCTGTTGTTGTAGTCGTTTTTGATTTTGTTCAGGTTTCGAATCGGAATTGGCAAGCACCAGGAGAGGGAGGGGTGGGGGGTTTTCTGCTGGTGTTAGGGAACCTGTTTAGGGCTCCATTTCTTATTCTTAGGACACACGCGAGGGTTGTCGCTTGTCGTTTTGGGCTTTTGCCTTCATTTGCTTGTGATTTTAGTGTTTCCTCCTTTTACAGAAAAAGGATAGTGATGCTTCCAACCATTCAGAACTGGCTCTTCTTTCTGAACAAATCAGGGGGCATGGCTGGTTTTGGGACATGGCGAACCACCACTGGTAAGCATTCCTTGTATTTGTGCCAAGGGATGGGGGTCTGGGTTGCTTCGGGGTTGCGGGGTGGATATGTCAATTAGTTGCTAAGGCTAGGACTTCTTGGGGATCCCAGAAGGCGGGAATAAACTTGGCTTCCCTACCAGATTGGTGTGGATGAATTTTCATGAATACTGGGACAAACCTGCAGGAACCTGGTACACCAACAAAATTCCTTTCGTGAGAATCAGCAGTCATGTGGACGCCCATGTAAGCCCCTTGTATATCACTCCCTTCTTTTGCAGGCGGAGAGGCTGTATCAGCTGGTGAAGCCCATCTACAGTCGCTTTGCCCCGGGCCTTCTTTCGAGTCTCGGCTTCCCCCCCCCCCCCGTGCGTCTTTCGCAGCCGCGGGCTGTGGAAGTTGGTTGGGCGTGTTTTTTCCTGCTTTTTTGCAGGCGTTGCTTGGGGCACCCTTTTTGAGACCTGTGCTGGTTGCTTTCTCAGCAGGTTTTCGCGGTTTTTGGGCACCCAGGCTTTATTGTTTCCGGATTTGGTTTTTTCCAGTTTTTTGCCCTCTTGACTTTGCTTTTTTGGGAAAACCATTCCGGTGGCAAATAAATCGCTTCAACTTTTCGGCCATCCACTCAGGATTTGAGATCCATCTTTGCAACATTGGTGGATGTGTTGGTCGAACAAGCATTTAATTGCCTGTCAGTTTGGTTTGTTTTTTTGGTGGATGTTCAACCTTCTTTGATGGCCGTCTTTGCTTGTGGCACGTTTTGCGCTTCAGTGTGGAGTGGGTCCGGGCAGCGCGTTCTACTCGTCTGTGAGAAAACCTTTTTGGTTGTGCCCCCCTTTTCCAATTCAGCATCCCTTTCCGTTTTTTGTGGCGCGCTTCCCTTGGAATCTGTTCCCCATCGTTCAGGGCTTTCCCTTACGATCACTTTTTGTCGGATTTCCCCCGGTTTGGTTCCCCTCCAACTATCATCCTTTCTCAGCTTTGGGTAGGTGCTTTGTTCCGGGGTGCCTTTTTCAGGTTCGTTTCAGAGGAAGGGACAGTTCACCATTGTTTGGACTTGTGGGTGCAAAGGAACTGTTGCCATGTGGGGGACTGATTCCTATTTTGAGAACTGCCCGAAGCCCATAATGAATTAGCTCCTTTGATTTGTGTTTTGTTCTCTTTGTTTTTCACTAACCAGGCGAAAAGGAGTTTTTTTTTCTTTCTGGGGTTCTAATTCCAGGCTAGTAATGATGGTTTACTGCTCTTTCATGGGATCCAAGGAATGTCTTCTTCCGCGGCCGGGTCATTATCATTGGAGCCTTGGCAGAGTTTGGTGGTGCGCCAGGATGGCTGGAGCTTTCATTCGGGCGGCATGTCTTGAGTTGGTGCTCCTTTTGGTTGGTTTATGGGAAAACCGACGGGCCACCACCAAACATCGGGGCTTAGAGTGTCTTCAAAAAGAGCATGGGTGTTCTTTGTGGGCGTTATTTGAGGACACCTCTTTCTGCATGGTTTCAAGGGAAGCAAAGATAACATGATTACTTATGAGGCAACAACTCCGTGAGGCCCAAAACACACACAAAGCATATTGGGCCGCCAAACCGATCCCAAAGAACCTAGACATGCGCAACCCAAACCCAACCATTTCACCCAGCCAGGTTTCCAATGCTTTGGAAGGCTTCGCCTATCTCAAATGAACAAGAAGGGTGATTCAGTAGTGGAGGGCCACGCCTAGCAATAAATTGCTTCATAAGTCTAGCCCCCACCCTAGGTTTTTTTTCTTCACGTTTTCAATGAACAAACAACTTCACCCCCTCGGGCAGAACCATTCTTTTTACTAAATCAAAGCAGGCACCGGAATATCCCAAAAATCAAAAGAACATACCAACACAATTTTTCTACATCATTTTTTTCATTTGTCTATGCATACATGATTTTAGATGACTTTTATATAAGTCTTCTCTAATGTCTTTTTTTTACATATGGCACACTCAATCATTTTACAGGGTGTAATTCTTCCTCTTGTGCCTTAAGATTTCGTAAGTGCTTCAGCGTTTCTTCGTGTTTTGCTTTCCTCGCGCTTTTTATCATGCATTTACACACTTCGCATTCTGTTTCTTTTTTGCTCGCCTCTCGTTTTTGAGCCAAACATTTGTCGCATGATTTGTTACCCTCTTTGAAATCACTTATTATCATACTTTTCCTACATCTCGGGCATCTTTTTAGTTCGCTTTCCATTGCCGTATAATGCCCTTTTTTCTTTACATATGTTAGGGCAAAAAATACTTGTCATCAAAAAGTATATCGAACTGTCTAAAAACGATTTGTCCATTTCTCGGACAAAAAATAGAACAGCGACAACATCACTCCCCTCCTTCGTTTCATCAGCTTCATCATAGATTTTAATAGGCGTGGTGTCCCTTGTAGGATTTTATCTTCAATATATAAAACGCTATACTTACATTATAATTATAACATATAAGGGTATAAATGTTATAATCATAGTATGGTTTTAATCAAAGTCATTAGTATTTAAATATTCCTTTGTAATCTTTGGTATTTGTTTAAAGTTTTTTTTATTATGTATAAATGGATATTTTCTATCAGCAAAATCATAAATGCAACCATTTATGCCCCAGTTTCCTAAAACACTTTTAATATGATTTATCACATCACCATACATTAATTTACCTATTATATTGTTCTTCTGTTCATCCTTAATATAATCACATATTTTATCAATTATGTTTTTCAATTCTTGGTTTCTTTGTTTTATGTAGTTTAAAAATGTTTCCTTGCAATAATTTTTAATTTTATTATTTGATGAATCATAATCATCAATAAATTTAAATATCATTTTTTTTTTTTTATCAAATTCTCCAATTGGTCTTGTTGTTCCAGTTTTGCCACCATACTCAACTTCATATGATTTTTCGTAGTAATATTTAATATCATTATGAAATTTTAAATTATATGTTTCGTTATCTTGCAGTATATGTTTTTTGTTTTTTTTTTTAAAGTTTTTTATATGTAGGAAAGTGATTTAACTTTATAAAACAGTATGTTCTTAATGCTTGGTCATTATTGTCAAATTCCAATTTGTATTTATCATAAATACATGGTCTCAATGTTGAATGTAAATTACTTTTATGTAAAACTTGCTTTGCATTTCTTAATAAAAAACACATTTCTCGCATTCGACAAACTTAAAATCACAAATGTTTTTGACAATTGGATTAGGTAAATTTAACTTAGTTAGTTCAGTTTTTTCAATTATTAGTTTACATTTACAACTACTGATAATGTCATTAACTTTTATTTTATTCAAAAAGTCATTAATAATTTATTCTTGCTCTTTTTCAGTAAATTCAACCATTTCACTATATAATATATATAGTGTTTATTTCTTTAAATACTTTTTCCCAAGAAATAACATGAAAATATTGAAATATAATTATAACATATAATATTATTTTACATGTTATTATTATAGTATGACTATAATTTAAGTTCAGGATAATAAGTTAATTGATGGCTATTAAATTGTGTATACATCTTACTTCTTTCATACATCATTTTAAAAATAATATTAATATCTGTTGATAGGTAGTGGCATTCCGACATGATACTGGCTCAAGAAAAATTGACTGCCGCCCGTGCTGACATTTAGGTAGATTCCACCTTTCAACAGGTTATCAGCCGTATCGCTGGTACCTTGTACAGTCAGCTGTCACCCGCGCCGCAATGGCGTCAAGCGGCGACGGATGCCACCCTGCCATAGCAAGCATGAACGAAGCAGTGGCCAACGAATTGATCAAGGGTGGGCATCCGGAAGGGAAACCGCCATGCAATCCGTCACAGCGCTCCCGAAGCAGTTTTCCTGAGTCCGACCAAGGCGATGCGCTTGTGCCCATCACTTCGGTCGTCCTTCCGGAGGATTCAATGGGAAGCGGAGGGGAACCTCTCGCCGGACATCAACATAGGCAAGAGATGCACGCGCGCATGACTAAGAATGAGACTCACCTTCATCAACATCATGTGAGCGCCCCGAACATATATCAACATAGCCAGACGGTAAATGTGGTCAACACAGGTCCGAGTACGGAGGAAGTGGCTGCCTATGCTTCGGCACGCCACGACGCCATCATCAATCAGCTCCAAGCAGGCCATGTTGAGGGAAAAGGCCGACTCTATCAGGACGCGGTGAACCACATCAATGTATGCCAACAAGAGGCAATGGCGAAGGAAAGAGAGTTCAACGAGGCAAGGCAGCAGTGGGTTGCTCAACGCTTAGAAGCTGAGAAGAAGTATGAACAGCTCAAATTGATTTGGGAAGTCACCCACAACAAGCAGAAGGAGGACGCGGACAGGAGCGCTGCCGAAATGAGGGAGATTATCATGAAGCAGTCGTGGGACATTGAGGCACTACGTCATGAACTGAAATCTGAGGCCAAAGGCCTCTCCTGTACAGACGTTTCCTCCTCCCGGCCTGGATCTTAGTTCTAAGGTACGTATCAGGTCAGCTTCTACCGAACTCCGCCGTGATGGGCCAGGTGCCGCCGATGATCTTGACGGGGATGCCGAGGAATACGAACCGACATCTCCGGCACAGGACCCAAACGATGGTGGTGGAAATCCATCAGGCGCAGGTAAAGGCCAGAGCGGAGGCGGTGGGGAACCACCTGCCGGCGATCCCGATGATGATGATGATCATGACGACGACGATGACGACGGGAATGACGATGGGAAGAAGAGCAAGAAGGACAAGAAGAAGAAGGACAAAAAGAAGAAGAGCAAGAAGGACAAAAAGAAGAAGAAGAAGAGCCACAAGAAACGAAAGGGTGGGTCTCCTTCCGACTCTCCGAGCTCTTCATCGTCCAGCTCCTCAACATCATCATCCTCATCATCATCTTCGGAGAAAGCCCGAGCGATCCGCAAGAAGCTCAACAAGATCTTGAGTAAGCAGACGACCACTGTGGACGCAGACAATGACAAACCCAAGGTCAAGGAGGCGGAGAGGATCATCATTCCCTCCTTCCCACTTCCTGAGAGTTACAGGAATTGGCGCATCAAGGTGCGGGAAGCCGTATGTGCGGCATCCGATCGCCCCGATGACGCTCTCACGTGGATCAGCAGAGTGTGGGAGCCCGCCGTTACAATCGAGGAGCTCAAAGAACCAGGTACTTTCCTCACCTTGGACGCCAAGTTGCTGTCCGCCCTCACCAACATCATTCAGGGTGACCTGGCGAGACAAGTCGACACCTTCAAGGAGGTAGAGGCGCAGAAGAGGAATCCAGTTTGTGGGAGACAAGTGCTTCTCATGGTGCACGAGCACCTGAGCACGAACATCAAGCACGGAGCCACCTATGCCATGGAGGATCTCCTCAACGTGAGGCTCGTGAACGATAACCTCACTTCCTTCATGCGTAGCTGGGAGGGTGTCCTTGCAGGGATGAATGCCAAGACACCGGATGACTCCATGCTTGAGGCTCTGTTCTACAACCAGCTGAAGAAAAGTAAGCAAATGCAACACCATTTGAATGTCTATTTGAGCGCCTCGGAAGAGTCCGCCGATCACTCATACACCTACTTGATTGAATCTGTGAGGCAATACCTGTCTCGAGCCAGACTCGAGCGCAACCGAGAACGGGTTGCTAGGCAGAACGGGGGTAGGCCAGCCGCACCCGCCGCTGAGAGCCAACGTGTGCCTAAGGGGTTTTGCATTGCATTTGTCAAGTATGGGTCGTGTCGGCGGGACAATTGCACGTACAAGCATGAACAGCCATCGGGCGATGCCAGGGGTAGGACCCCATCAAGGGACGCTAAGCCTAAGAAGGGTAAGGGTAAAGGCCGAACGAATAGCCCAAAAGCAAAGAAAGAGTGCCGTTTCTACCCCAAGGGGAGGTGTGACCGTGGTGGCTCACATCGACCCGAAGCCGGCCGTTCCAGGGTCAAGGGAGCCATCCGCAGACAAGCATAAGAAGCAGGGAAAGGATCGGAAGCATCGCAAATCGAGCAGGGATCGTTCCAAGTCGACCTCTCGATCCACTTCCCGTGATTCGAAGGGAGAAAAGAAGAAGGGTCACAAGGGAAAGTCTTCCGGAAAGCCTTCTCCTGCTGCTGTTTGTGTGTTGGGATGCTTGCTGTCTTCCATGATGAACGCCCCTATCGCTGAGGGGAACCTCATGTCGGACTGGAAGCATGTGCCTGCCCTCCCGAGCGTGCGTTTCAGCTCGAAGGTTGAAATGAATCGGATACCAGCACATGGTGAGCAGTTTAAGATCGCGGACAAACCGCGCGTGTATTCAAAGGTCT